TCTATTTTTTTGCATAGCGGTGAGGCACTTCCTTATGTAGTCCTTGCGTTATTCTCGAAATCTTTAAATGAATGAGACATTTGTTCTAGTTATACTCGGTGCTACACATACATAGAATATTTTAAATCTTTTAATTGGGCGAATGCCCTAAACAAGATATTCTATATCAGATAGTTGGAGAGAAATTAAAGGATTTTGAAAGGAAACTTCTTTAGCGACGGTTGGTCGGTTGGGAGTAAATTGGCAAATTCAACGGAAATTGCACACGGAAATGGTGCAATGAAAATGATGCAACGGAAATGGTTGGGACAGAAACAAGTGCTTCTTGAATGTATGTTATTAATTAAAAAATAAAAAATTGCTAATAAAAGGTTAAAGAATAACACTTAGCAAAAGACCAATACAAGAATGAAAGTAAAGGTGAGTAGGTACATAGAAAAAGAAAAGGATTAGGCAAAGATAAAAATAGAAAAGAAAAACAAATATGCATAAAGATAAAGTCAGAAATGAAGACCAAGGTAAATTTAAACAGTTTACTTATATATATAAGGGCAAAGGTGAAGGGGAATATGTAGATGAAGAAAATGATAAATATAAAAGTAAAAACAAAGATAAATATAAAGAAAAAGATGAGGATGTGGATACCGATAAAAGTACAGTTGAAGATAGAGGAAGAAAGATTGAAATAATGGTAATTATAGAGAAAAGGATATATGTAGATAGAGACACAGAGACTCAATCTGTGAACTATTTTGGGATTTTAGAGATTTTCGGAATTCTCGGGACTTATCGATATATTAATAGATATTCTTATCGGTTTTGTTATTGATTAATTATCGATTTTATTATCAATTATTTGTCGATTTTGTTATCAATATTTTTATCGATTTTGTTATCGATATTTTTATCAATTTCCTAGTAGATTTTTTGTATCGATATTTTTATCGATTTTCTAGTTGATTGTTCTACCAATAGTATTATCGATTTTGCTATCGACATTTTTATAGAATTTGTCATCGATTTTTATCGATATTTTTATCGATTTTGTTATCCGTTATTTATCGACCTCGTTATACATATTTTTATCGATCTTGTTATCGATATTTTTATCGATTTCGTTATCGATATTTATATCGACTTTGCTATCGATATTATCATTTTTATTATCGATTATTTATCGATTTTGCTATCGATTATTTATTGATTTTATTATCTATTTTTTTATCGATTATTTATCGATTTTCTTATCGATACTTTTATCGATTTTGTTATAAATATTTTTATCGATTTTGTTATCGATATTTTTATCGATTTTCTAATCGCTTTTTTGTATCGATATTTTTATCGATTTTGTTATCGATATCTTTATCGATTTTCTAATCGATTTTTCTACTAATATTATCTATTTTACCGATTTTGTCATCGATACTTTCATCGATTTTGTTGTCGATATTTTTATCGATTTTGCTACCAATATTATTATCGATTTTGCTATCGAAATTTTTATCGAATTTGCCATCGATTTTGTTTTCGATATTTTTATCTGTTTTGTTATCGATATTTTGTTGGATGTTACTATCGATTTTGTTATCTATAGAGTATAAATATAAAAATGAAGATAAAGAAAAACAGAATAACATATATAAATTTAATTAGAACGAACAGGGGTACAAAAAATATAACCTTAAGCAAAACCAGATGTATGTATGTATGTACATATGTATGTATATTGGTTATGAGACAAAGTAGACATGTAACGTAAGTTTAACTTCTCCAGTGTGGCCCAAGCGCACTTACTTTTTCTCTGTGAATATCCCCGAATTTTTCCAAGGCAGTAATGGGGCTTCTCTGCAGATTCTTGCACTTTTGCTGTGCGCCTAACTAAACTATTTCTACCTACATGCGATGGGATAAACCTTTATAGCCTGGGCCAAACTGATCTGGCCTAAGCGCGATAGGAGAAATCAGTTAAGTCTAGGCTGATCTAGGCTAAGCGCGTTAACAAGATTGTTGCAACATTACTGTGGACTGCGTAGCGAGCCTGAGTTGGAATGATGAGGATTCGTTTTCGGATTCGGCTAAACTGGTTTATTCGAAAATCAAATTGCCCGGTACATATGCATAACTAATTATTTATCTTTGTTGTTGTTTTCTTAACAATGCTCAGCTATGTTGTTAGCAAGTTGGTTACCAATTTAACTGAATATTTCGACTATTTGTCGCTACTGTGGTTACTTGGCTGAATTTAGTTTGATAGCGCGATGCTGCCGCTGGTTAACTACATACATAGTACATGTATATACACGGCGTATGTTGCCTAATGAAGGGCAACAACAAAAACAATATCCCGACAACATATATGTACATACATACATTGCAACACTGTCGCTATTGGCTTCAAGTAAACATGAGAAATTGATTAGATAAAGGCAAGTGCATTTCATTATTGAATCTACGCGGATTGGGTGTATGTAACTAATTTATATGTGTATGTATCTATATGTGTAACAAATTTACCTCACCCCTAGATAGGTAGATTACAGTGTCGAAACTTGCCTTCAGGAAAGCATGCACTAAACATTTAAAAGGACTGAGGCCCTCTGTACCTCGAAAGATAATGTTTTTTTCGGCATTGTTGAATTTTATGTCACTCTAGGAGGCAAATCTTCTCTTCTTTGATCTGGCTTAACTTTATTTTCTAATTAAAGAAATATCACGAAATACTTTCCTACCGCCTGTCTCTTGCACTATGAACCGATCGTACAGTGAAGATACTTAGAACCATTCTTTGGAAGTTTTAACTAACATCATACTCTCGAGCACAATTATCTTAGCGATGATAGCCTTTTGGCTAACCAGGTCTCTAGTTGGCCTTATCCATCAGTTGCTAACCCACAGGATTGTGAGTTTTGAACTAAGGGTTGTTATGTTACGGAGAAAAGCCTACATGGGCGGGAGTTATCTTCGCTCCCATTCTTTATACAAAAAATTAAGCCTCTTATCTTTTATCCATAATGAATCCTGACACCCAGCGATTTTTAAAGGAAAGTTTCAGCCGCATATTGAAATTATTGGAATGACTGAGAAATACTCCCCATATGATTATCAAACGAGGGAGATTTAAAAAAGCTTTATTTCAATAATATTTTTAAGGAGGGTTGCCAGATGGTTAGAAAATATAAAATCACTTTAATTAAAAAGTTAACTGTTTTATTTCTTTGTGGGTATCAAATGGACGAAGTTTAAGAGAGCTTTATTTCGAAAATACTTTAATAGGCTTGCCACCTGTTTAGAAATTGAAAATCACAATTTGTTATTTTACGTTACACTTATCCAATACCTCTTTCCATACAAATTATGCATGTCGATTTTATTGAGAAACATCCTATCTCAGTATTCGGTTTAAAAATGCCCTAACTCACATTAAAATGTATTGAAAATGTGCAGATATAGGGCGTTTTTGAATCGGCAGCTGAGATAGGGCGTTTTTGAAACGAATTCTAAAATAGGACGTTCTTCAACTAAATTCTGAAATAGGGCGTTCTTTAAACGTTTTTTGAGGTAGTAGTGCATTTTCGAACAGCCTGCCAAGATAGGTCGACCTTCCAATCAGCAGTCGTTATGCAAAGCTAAACTCCCATAAAGAGTAATATTTATCTTAATTTTCTAAACTAAATATTTAATAAATATACGATAGAAAGTGGGTGGCAATCCCATTCAAAAATATTTTTGAATTGGGAATTTTCAAAACACTTTCCACATTTTAAATTTTCTTTAATAACTTTAAATTTTTTTTTAACAGACGCTGTTATAGCCAGCATTTTAAGAATATCTCTAGACGTCTCTTGTCTATGTATAACTAACAAAAATGCATTCTGATATGCAACTTTTTTACATTTCTGTGAACAATGAAGTTTTTGAACCGGCACCATTTTATGTAAGCAATTGCTAGCAAATCTATTGTCTAGTATGCCACATTGGCCATTTCCCTTTGACAATGCCTTTAACACATGACAAACACAGGCACAACTGCATACAGACAATATGGTATGTGAATATATGCATGCATGTACAAATTTATATGTACATTAGGGCGGGTCAATTCGTTTTTTTTACTATGCGCATATAGCATATTAGGATTCTACGTGTAACTCTAAGCAAATTTTCTGAAGAAACCATAGGTCTAAAATCAATTTATAGTTTGCCAAATTGCGAAAAAAGGTTTCGAAGAGAATGGGAAAATAATCACTGTTGCGCCCTCTGGTGGAAGTTTTAAGAAAAAGATAAGTGCAGAAATGGATTATTCATACCAAAAAACCCCTTTTTACACAAAATTTAAGCACTTCTTTACAATACTACAGCAAAGTGCTGCGGAAACCTATTTCTTTGGCAAATTTGCTTAGAATTACACCTAGAAACGTAGACCCGCCCTAATGTACATATATTCCATAAGTGTATATATATTTACACATATGTAACATACACGTATGTGCATAATCCTTCAACTTTAGATGCCTGCAAGCGGGGCTATTTAAGAAAGCAAGCAACCAGCATTTAATAATTGACCTATTGAGCTAAACTGCTTAGGAAATAAAATCAAGCACTTATGTATGTTTGTGTATGTGCTATGGTGTGAGTTCGAAGCAATGGATTAATGCCTTTTCCGTAGGCTAAAATGTTAACTGCCACTCGCACTTACAGTTTACTTGGATTGACAGGCGTGTGTATGTCTGTATTATGCATGAATCGAGTATTATAGGTCAGTATCGTTAATCAAATGGTGCTGAAATGGCCTAACAATAGATTACAGAATAAAAGACTGCAGCTTAAGGGAATGCCAAGGAGTAGGCATATCTGAATTGAAAATTACGAATTAACTTCTACGGTTTTTGTTAACTACTTATACATATATACTTACATATGTACACATAATATACATACGTATCTCTTTCTACATATCCATTCAATTCCCTTATGCTTCCTTCTCACTCCATTTACAGGGCTACAAAGTCTACTACACCACAAATCCCAATCAACCGGAGGCATCTTGGGACTCACAAATGGTGGACAATAGCGAATTGACAACCATTTCGGAATTGACGCCGCATGCCATTTACACGGTGCGTGTGCAAGCGTATACCTCAATGGGAGCCGGTCCCATGTCCACACCGGTGCAAGTGAAGACACAGCAAGGTGAGTGCGAAATGTATACGAAGGTTATTGAAAACTTTTGGTGTAAACTGGTGTCATCATTGTGTTTGAAATTTGATTAAATGTCGATATAAGTGTAATAACATCGGTAATAGTAACTTTGAGCGGAACTTTTACTGGGAATCGGTTAGTTGAATGAAGTCGGTTAAAAACGTTTTGATTTAAAGAATTCGGCGATTAACAGGGTACAAGGCATGATATTTGTCAATTCTGACAACTATCTTGAAAGCTCTTTTCTGTCTTGTGAAAGACTAACTGAAAGATCAGCTAACGGGGTGGTCTTGGCGTTATTCTGTTTCACTTTTAGCAATAAGTGTTTTAAAAATTAAATTAGATAACAAAATATATTTTATTTAAACGATAAAAACAAAAGTTAAGAGAAAATTAAATAAAAATGAAAAAAAAAATACTAATCAAAAAATATATATTAAAAATCTTCTTAAAATTAAATTACATTAAAAATTTTGTTTCTTTTCACAAGAATAAAATCTAAAAATTAAAATAAATCTAAATAAAAAAGGAAAAAATAGATAATAATAAATAATGAAGAAAAACTAAATAAGCTCATAAAAAATTTATATTTTTTCAAATAAACAAATCTAAAAAAAAACTAATTACAACGGCAAATTAAAAAAAAAAAGAAAAATGTAATAATAATTAAATGAAAATAAAAAATATAGTTATATATTTCTCCTTCTAAAACAATAAAATTTAAAAATAAGAATATTAAATTAAAAAACATTTAAATAAAAAAGAACAATTATAACTCTCTAAAAATTAAATTAAAAAAAGAAAAATCATTAAAAACTAAGTTTCTAAAATTTAAACGAAATTAAAAAAAAAAAAAACAAGTAAGAAAGTCTAAGTTCGGGCGGAGCCGAACATTAAATACCCGGCGAAAGTATTAAATATGTTTTATCACCTTTCCGAAAGCTGCCGCTAGATGGTAAGCCGGGGTGTATCAATTTTGAGTAAACTAGCGTCCTTCAATTTCGAAATATTGAAGTTTCAAGCATTTCTAAAATTTACCGTTATATGAAAAGCGGCCGTAATTTTAGTCCGATTTCAATAATTTTCAACGCTTTTCTTCTATGTGGCAAGCACAATAACCATACCGAGTTTGGTACAAATTGGTAGAACGCTTACCGATATAAATATATGTGATCATAAGTGGGCGGTGCCACGCCCATTTTCCAAAATTTTGCATAAATTAGCTTAAATATTTACTGATTTATCGAAGATTTCGTATTTCTCTAAATTACCCTAATATGGAATGTGGGCGGGGTTATTGTCCGATTTTAAAAATTTTCGGCCGTTTGGTATGCTGTACCAAGGCCAACAACTGTGCCAAGTTTGGAAGAAATCGGTGCAGCGGTTGCCAAGATATACACATGTAACCATAAGTGGGCGTAGCTGCGCCTATTTTTCCACAATTTATAATATTCTTATTTTTCGTCTAAAAATCATTGTAAATATTAATTTTGAGTGAATAATCTGCAGTAGTTTATAAAATGTCGCAGTTTTCGTATTTCTAAAAATTATTGTTATATGGGAGGTACCAAGTTTCGTTAAGATATCTTAATTTTTACTCGAGTTATCGTGTGCACAGACGGACGGACGGACGCACGGACAGACAGTCACCGCTTAATCGCACTCGGGTATAATAAATAAATTTAAAATACTTTCGGCTTTCTCTCAAAAAAGCTCTTCACCATGAAAGTTGGCAAGGGAGCTTTCTTTTGTATGCCGTTCGTGCCAGAATAAGGAAAATATTTCAAACTGTCTTGGCTACTGTATTTCAATTGTCTTACAAAAGACTTTCAACT